TGTGACTATTGCCACACCCTCGCCGGGAATCGAACCTGGGACCTTTGACTTTGAACGAACCGTACTTATTTGTCGAAGTAATGTAAATAATAAAACACTGAAACGCAATATTCATCCTAAAAATTTAATGTGAAAATTCATCTTTAATTTTTATTCATTATAAATTACCTCAAGTTAATGAGGAAAAGTTGTTGCTGTTGTCACACCCTCGTCGGGAATTTAACCCGGGACGAAAATTTTATAAAATGAGTTTCAGCACATGAGGTATGAATGTATCAAAACTGCTCTATTATATGCCAACACGAGCACACGTGCTAATTAACCTTAAGGTACCTAGTCGTTTGATGTACAAAGAAATAATGAAAAATCTTCTCAATCTAAATTAAAGCACTTTCTATAACGACGTCGTTACATAACGACTCAAGTTATCAAGCATCATTTTCTCGAGAATGTTCTAACTTCCGTAAACGTAAGCTGAAATTAAATCTTGTAACATAATAAAGTACTTATAAACAGAGAGGAAGATGTTAGAACGTGTTATATAAAGACGATTATGTTTTTTTTAGTAGGTATTCAATAATGACGAGAATATTATCAGTAAAATAACTACTGAGAGGGTAAGATACAAAGTAACAGGTCTCTTCCCCGAAACACTTCGAATAAGTCAATATGAAATGGGCGAGATAGGTTAGTAGGATACCTTCTCAGGCATGAAGGTCACGTCAGATACATATTAAAGGCAGAAACAGGAGTTAGGAGGAGTAGAGGTAGGCCTAGATTAGATTACTGTTCGCAAATAGTTAAGGATGTGGGTTGTTCTAGTTTTAGGGAAATGCGAAGATTAGCTCAGGATAGAAAAGAGTGGAGGTACGTCTCCAAGCAGTCTTAGGACTTACGACCTTATGATGATGATGATGACTACATGTTATGATATAGTACCAGAAAAAATAGGAAACATTTATCATTACAATTGAAAAACCATTTAATATTTTTACAATCAATGAGATATCGTGAATACGCCAGTGTAAATGTAATTTATTAAACTTGAAACAGTTATAATATTTAATCAGTTTTATGATTTTGTCAATTCCTGTAAATCATCAGTAAAACATTAAATTTCACATAAAACCCTAAAAAACGTTTCAACGTATTTTGATAGGTATAATTGTACCATGGAAATCCTTAGGGAAGAATGCAAATTTAAGGAACCATTCTCAAAAAGATGAGTTTTTACGCTTTTTCAGACTTTCGATCTACACGTAGAGAACTACCAGAATCAAAAGTTGTAAAGAGTTTGAGACATGACCATTTTGCGTAAGGATCTAGCAGAGTCCTGTGGTTTTCCTATATGCAAACAGACTTTTGACCGAATTTCGTAAAACTTGGGAAAGTTTTAGTGTCTGATCAAATTTATATTACGATTGCGTAACCATCTGCAAAATATTCCCAACATTATTATTATTATTATTATGTATTATTACGTAATTACGAATCTGTTAACGCTCGGGGAGCAAAAATCCTTCGACTGTACGTGTTCATAATTGCAGGAATTTACATGCAGATTACATTCGTAGCTCTAGGACTTCGTTATAAGCGTTGCATGCGAGTACAAGAGAATAAATATATCGAATTTAAAACACGAAAAGTTAATGCATGCATATCTTTGCATTCTGCAGCTGTTTTAGTTGCGTGCAAGAGGAAATCAAAAACGAAATGTATAAATATATAAAAATATTTCGAATTCAGCTCTTATGAAAAGGCCAAGGCTTTCACGGCAGGCTTTATCAGTGTAGTGCTCGATATTCTAGGATTATTTCACCTCATTCAGTGAGGACACCGGCGTTTCGTCAGTAGTTTCGGTTGGCATCCAAAAGTCCTTCGCAGCTGTTGTATTGAAACGGTCCCGAGGCTATTCGGCTCTTATTTTATATTAAGTAAATAATATGTAAATAAAATGATACAAAATGACGTCACGGATGTTTTCCCGGCTCATTCATCAAGAGCAGTTAACGACTCACTAGCCACTACGATAAATAAAACGGAATAAACAGGATCACAAATAATTGTGTCCATACAAACATAAATTAGCGACAAGAAAAAGAAAAACTATTGCTAATGTTGCTTTTTTATTGAATAATATATATATCCCTTTTAGATTGATTAGCTTTTTTACTGAGAAAAGGTTATTTCGTGAACTGTTCTTGTGGTCGTTAGGAGTTTGTAGAATAGCTTTATATATATGTATATGTAGTACAATAGCTAAAAGGATATCCTATTTCCTCCCAGATCGATTCTTATTAAAAGACTAACAACACATTTAATATAAGACATTAAAACCTTCATTTTGTATGGACCCATTTAAATATATACCCACCCTTTTATTTCATCATCGTCGTCAACCCCACGATTGGTTGGACACGCACCTGCACTTTTTCTTAATCTTCGCATTTCCCTTAAAGTAGAACATCATATATCCTTAACTATTTGTGGATAGTAATCTAATCTAGGTCTACCTCTACTCCTCTTAACTCCTGGTTATGGTTCTAATGTCTCTGACTAGCCCTTCATGCCTAACAAGGTGTCCTACCAACTTATCTCGCCTATTTCCTATTGACTGATACCCATTTCTATCCTTTTCTATCCACGATATCCTCAACATTCACCTGTAAGATCACATTTAGACTATTGATTATAGAAATATCTTTTTTGTCGCTTCCACCGTGCATGTTTCGCACTCATACAGCGCCGTGCTCCAAATATAAACCTTTAACAATCTTTTTCGTATTTCTAAATTAACCGTTCGCGAGCATAAAAGTGACTTCTTTTTGTTGAAGGCAACTCGTCTCTGCGCTATGCTCTGTCTGCTCCTTCCATCTTGAATTATCTAACTTCCTATAGATATAATAAATCTATATTCGCTCTTTTTCTTGCATACCAATATGAGAGTGGAGCCACGATTCAGTTTTTCGAAACATATCCATTAACTTTACTAGTCAATCGTCTTTTATTTTGGAAGTGGGCCAAAAGTCAATTTTCCCATTTTTGATTGAACTGGACCTAAATTTCCACATTCCCAAAATTACAAAAAAAAAATACTTTCTCACATGGAAGTCATAATTGGCTAAGGCACTAACAACATAATTTTATTCTGCACTCATTGAAAGGTATTTAAATTGTTATCATTATTACAATGTCACCAATTATCAATATCAAGAAAGTCGGAAAAATCAGGATTCTGCATGTCTAGTTTTATGGAAATGCAAAAATTGGTTCAGGATATGGAGAAGTCAAGCTGTTTGTCCAATCAGTTGTGGGACTGGCGACATTAAGACGATGACCATTCCTTATACAAATCTTTCATAAAAATTTGACAAATTGAACTTTGTCTTAGTAAATCCCTAAAACATCGGAAGATCGAAAAGGTTACGAAAAATGGATAATTCTGATAAATTCTAGATTTATCCCAAGTTACTGTAGGAAAACACCTAATTGTAAATTAATTGTTATTAATATTGCAAAATCATTAGTATTTAGTTCGTTTGAACGTATTTTTAGATTTTCCCCCTTTTCATTTATAATTCACATAAAATTGCGGTTTAATGTATTAAAGTGGAATTCCGAACGTTGATTCTGCTTTCAGGTACTTTTGGGCAGCTCTAATGGTAACGATAGCTGGTATTTTATGTGCCTGTTCCTTATGGCGAAAACATAGCCAAAGCAGTTTAATTTGTTGCAAAAATTCTGGAAGAGAAGACCGGGTTTCAGAACCGGACTCAAACGGTTCTTGTTACGCTCCACCCCAATATAGCCGATGTAACAGCTTCTATCAAGCCCCTCCGCCCTATAGTGAGGTATTTTAAAAATTTTCTTTCCACATTTCTTTCTACCAATTAATATGTACCTCGAATCATCTTAAGGTAACTTCAAAACCTGACATGTACCCCCTTGTAATAAGTTATAATGGAATATCGAATGATCAAAACCACAAATGGGGTGGTACAACAGGGTACCTCATGGTTCAGTATTTTAGAAATTACATCGTCAGGCCAGTAGGTAAAAAATCACGGAAAGCTTTTTAAAAAGCGTCTGCAATTTTGAAATTATTTTTTTCTGTTTAAGGTTCCCTTTCTGCAACCAGCACAATGGATTCTTTGGGTTCTAGTTTCATTCATTCTGTTAACGAGGTAAGTAAAATAGTTATTATATATGTAAAAATACATACTTTCGATATTTTAAAATACAGTGTAAACTCTTTATAACGTCACTCGATTTAACGACAAACTCCTTAAAACGTCGAAATTGCTTGACTTTGGTTAGTTTACATTGTTTTCTATACAATATTACACTCTATATAGCGTCACGCTTACTCTCTTTAACGACAACAATGCAGCATTATAAATGATTGAGCAGTACTTTCTAAGTTGCCGAAATAGATAAGAACTGCAGCTGTGTACGTTGTTGAAGAAGACGATCCTGTCCCTCCACCAAGCATCAAACAAGCACTTGATGCAGCGAAACTAT